TGTGCTCTCTGTGACCATCTGAAAGAGTTAGAGGAAAAATGGAGCCAGGCTCCTTTCGGGAGTGCACAAACGAGAGGCAACCATCAACAATTTCTGTGGGAGAAACTGGCTGGACATAAGGAGAAAATTCTTCCCCACGAGAGGAGTTAAACAGCAGGAGCAAGAGCCCAGAGAGACTGCGAGTCCTCATGCTTGCAGATGTTCAAACCTGGACTGGAGTCCCTGAGCAGCCTGGTCTAACGCTGAAGTTAGCCCTGCTTTGAGCAGCGGGTTGGACTGGAAACCTCTGGAGGTCCCTTCCAAGCTGCATCAGTAGGTTATTCTAGCAACCATATGGATGCCAATTCCTGATGTCCAGAAATCTTTGTCTTGCTTTGACAGTAAATGTTGAAGTCTGTGCTTGCTGCTGTTACGTGTCGGTGTTCGCTCAGTGACCACAGCATGCTTCTGAGCTGCTACAGTTATTTCTCATCCTGATATAGGGGGCTTGCACAGTTACACATTTGAGATCACTCCTTGGTAGGTGTGGCCAGCCTTTGGCCTCACATCTATCCTTGATGGTAGGTGCCATATAAGGTGGCTCAGCCTTTTAATTTTAGTGTTGCAACAAGCTCTGTAAAGCAGAGATGAATGTGGTAGAAGATGGCAACCGGAGAAGCTGGGTCATTCCAGCAGTGGACGAGAGGGAGGTTTTTACTGCTTCTCTAAACGTAGAGTTGTTTATTTTCCCAGCACTGCTTCTTTTGAAGTGAGTGTTCAAAACACTGCTGGTAAACTGAAGGAAATCTGAAACTTGCTGTAATGTACTGAAAATATTAAAACCGATGTGGAAACGTTGTAGCATGTAAGGTTTTTCTATTCTTAACTGTTCAAAGTAATAAAATGAAAATCCTAGTAAGTGATACAGAGAATTAGAAGTGAAGGGCTTCTGTCTGTCTGAGGACTCCAGATAACTTTGTGACAAATGAGTGGAAAACAATAGATAAAATTTAAATACAAAATCCCTGTCTTTGTAAAGTTTCGTATCCAGGAGGGAGAGAAGCAGTTGCCTTTTAAAATGTGAAAAGCTTTTTATGTTTAGGAATGGTGCTAGCAATTTAAATACATGCAACCCCCAACACTTATTTTTTTTTCTAGAATGCACCTTTTTCTTGGTTTGTTCTTTGTATTGTAAGCAGGGGAGCGACATCCGCGATAAAAAATAGAAATCCAAAAATAAGGGGTTTTCTCCTAAATTACAGTTCTCTAAGTGGAGGAATCACTACTAATCACTTGAGGAACAGCAGTCCTTTTTTGCAGAGCAGTATTTGTGTTGTACTCTGACCTGTTACTGCTTTGGGCAGCCTGTCTCCCACTCATCTAGCTCCTTTTGCATGTCGGGGATTGAAATGAGGAGAGGTGAAGAACAACTAGTTGAAATGGTGTGCCCAAACTGAGTGATGAGTTGATGATACAACAGTAAATAAATCTCTATGATCTGCAAAGTTGAAAGTATTTTTACCATACGTTTAGGTCTCTTGAATAATACAAGTGATGATGCGTTACTAGCTGAGTGGGGGCATAAAATTCTGGTCTTGATTTAAACTTTGCCAACGATAGACATAGTCCCTGCTAGGAATTACGTTTAAAAAGTCTTAGTTCTTTCTAGTCTTGCTCTCGGTGCTCACCTTATTTTTCTCGGCTGCACGTGGCACTGGCCGTGCTGTCGGCTGACCCACCACGGCGATTTTCCAAGTCCCTTTGACACTTTTCTGTTTCTCCAGATAGTTGACCATCTTGTTAACATGGCCCAGGGGGATACTTGGACTTGAAATAAAGCCAGTTGGAAACTACTTCTGCTTGTGTTTCCCAGTAGCCAGCAGAGCTGTTGTCATTATTATGTCACTGCTCTTCCTATTCACTTTCTGCTTCCTTTTCCATCCATCTCTGTGACTCTTCATCTCCCCGCTTCTGGAGAACAAAGCCTTTGTGATGACAGTGTGGTTGGGTGCTGAAAATGAGTTTGAAGAACTGATTTTTTCCCAGGGCAGTAGGGTGAAACATGAGCTTGTCAAGATGTTTTTCTCATCACAGTTCCATTGTTAATCTAGCTGTAGTGTATTTTTAATTTTGTGCGTTCTTTGTAGACATCTTTGCTTCGCTTCAGTTAGTGAAGGTTATCCAGCACACAAATTAGACAAGCATTTTAATCTCATAGTCTGGAATATCGTCTGGGGGTGCTGCTTTATAGCTTGCTTGTTGCCAGGATTTAAATCATCTTTCTGCAAGTAAGACTATAGAAGGGAAAAATATTTGGGTTTTTATTTTTTAACATAGTGTTTATACTCGTTGCCACCTAAACCAGTTGGAGACCTTGCCTTGACTTCCATGAGCTTGGGTTGAGCCCCTCACTGCTGTGCAGACTCAAACTGTTCTGAACGTTAAGGCTTTTCTCTTGGGCTCTCTGTCTGGATAATTGGTGGTGATGGGAAATGAAATACCAGAAAAGAAAACAGTGGTTAAGTGAGGCTTTATTGGAGCGGGGCTGCCTTAAGTTAAAAGGCTCTGAGTGTGCTTAACGTGGAAACTTGCCCGTGTTATTTATCTGTCGAGTTCAGTCACTGGCAAAGTGGCATTTATCAAGGACGTAACTTCCAGCCTGTCTTACTGCAAATATGAAGTGTCAGAAAGGCCATCAATAAAAAAAACACCCAGCAAACCCCATCAAAAAAAAAAATAATCCACGACACAGGTTTTTCTAGAAGAGGAAAGTTCAGCGCATAACAGTGTGGGGGTTTTGGTTTTGTTGTTGTTTGTGCGGTTGGTTTTGGGGTTGGGGTGGGTGGTTTTTTTTTTTTTTTTTTGGAAGTACAATAAACAATTGACTGTTCCAGTTGTTTCTTAAAAGATGTGCTTGAGGGCAGTATGTTGGTCTTAATAATTAGTTTTGATAATAACTAACTCTTTAGGAACTGGGAAGCTAAAAATAGAGCTGAATAATCCAAGTGGAAAGCTTTAAATTTTTGTTGCTTGTGTTTTAGATAATACTTTTCCTGGATGTCTTGAAGCCTTTTTAATGTCACTTTCCTGCTTGCTTTCAGTGCTTCCCTCGCTGCATTTTCATCTCTCAGCTTCTCAGTTTGACAAATGTTGTCCCTGATCTTGTTCTTGCTTTGGTGAAATTGCTGACAGCTTTCAGGGCCGTGATGAATGCCTGCAACTTCCCTGAAGTGACTCGGCGGGGGGGGGGTTAAAGCACCTTTGGAATTGGGAAATTTGGGGTACATCTCTACCTGCCAAAGGAAGAAGATAAAAATTAGCGCTTGTGCTTCTGCCAAAGGTTTCCAAGCTGTGCCTGCTGAGCCTTCTCTGTTTGTACGGGCTCTGGCATGTCAGCTTTTTGGGGAGAAGCAAACTTGGTTCTTGTGCTTCATCTGTTTCGTGATGTGTTATGGACAAACTTCCATAACTGTTCACAAGGAGATGCTGGGGAGAAAGAGGATGGATAGTGCTTTGTGGCAAGCGAGAGGAACCCTGTGAACGCTGTTGAAGTGGCAGTGTTGGTGGGTTTAGGAGGAGCCTGTTCAGTCCTCTGTGATTCATACTGCGACACAAATTGTCTCTCAAGACTGAGCTCTGTCCTAAAGACTGGCAGCAAGTGCACGCTCTCGTTATCCGTGCCGAGAAGAGAATTTCATACTTAGGGACTTCTTGGCAAAGTTTTTTCAGGAGGAAGGAAAAAGCGCAGCTCGCTCTTAATTTAAAAAGCCTGACTGCCCCCAAGCTATTTCAGGGTCATTCTTGACTTGAAGGCGAGCGAAGTAATACATTGTTGATCGATGCTCTTTCAGTATAGTTAATATTTACTGGTATTGAGGGACCGGACCTTAGCTTGGCTGTCTGCTTGCTCTGTCTCCTTGCTTTTCATTTTTAATGTTGAGCTGACAGGTTTGCTATAAAGTTAAATCCTGAAGTGCAAGCAAACGTCTTGTTTCACGAATAGTGTCTTCAGCTATTAGGGAATGATTTTTTTTTATTTATTTTAAATCTTTCTATGCAAAACGTGCTATTTCTAGTTTCTTACACCAGCACTGAGATTTTGGAAACTGCAGAGGGACGCTTTTTTTTTTTTTTTTTAGTAACTGTGGAAATCCTCTGTTAAATAGAAAAACCAGTAAACTGGGAGAGATGTGAATTGGTAATGCTGCTTTTATGCACTGATTTGACATTCCTGGTGGCTTTTGACCACGTTTGTTTTTAGGCTATAAAAGATAAGTGCATCAGCAGAGAAGTGTTACCTGTGGCCTGTTCACGTTACTGCATGTCTACATCCCTGCCTGTTTCTCTGTTCCTTGAATAAAGTTATTTTACTTAATTTGAGCCTTAATAATCAAGCATTAATCCCCCCCCCCCCCCCCTTTAGAGTTCAGCAGAATCTTTAAACTAGCAGTAGCTTTCATTAACCTGATGGCTATGTTTAAATCGTGTAGTTATGTGACACAGCAGCCGTGTAGGCTAGAAGATGAGGCCTCCTAAGCTTTTTCAGCTATGCCATGATGTCACTTTAGAGAAATAAAATTTAAGCCATTTTTTCCCCATGTATAGAGTTGTGAATAATGTTTTGTTGGTGTTTCTGTAACGAAAAGAATAAAGACAATCAAACATCATTGTTAGTATCGTTTTTCTAACACTTTTCTGCTCGAAAAACATAGTTCATTAAATAAAAAACAAAGCACAGTTTATCACAAAATAAGAGGATTTAAGTAACTTGTTTTATGCATATGCTCAAAATACTTGAAGACTGCTCATTAAATCTGTGGTGTTCGGATATTGGACCCTTTTGTACGGTGAATTTTCTTTTAGGAGTAGAAATAAAGAAATACTACTTAAATCTTTTCTGCTTTAATAGGGTTTATGGACAGAATTATCATGGTATTCAGACACTCCCCGAATCAAAGAGAAAAGTCCTGAGAGATGAATGAATTGGTCTTTAAAAGTTGTCCCTTGTGTTCTCCTTCCAGGTGTCAGCGGTGGACTCCTTGGAGGGTCCCCTTCTTCAGGTGGAGGGGTTGAGTGATCTGAGACTGGAGCTCCACAGTAAGAAGATGAACATGCACTTAGTCCTGATAGATGAACTGCACCGTCATCTTTACATCAAATCAACCAACCGAGTAGGACAACGCAACAAGGAGAAAGGGAGAATAAGGTGGGTTTGGTGTGATGCGGACTGAAGGCAACAGGTCTGAGAGGGAAGAGGCCAACGTTCTGCTTTGGATAAGTAGAAACTTTCTTGGGAGAGCACATCGGCTTGCACCTCAGCCCTTCATGTTTGGCAAACCGATTTCTCGTGCTTGTAACTGTGGAGAGCAGAAGAACTCCAGATCTGTTGATGCACCTTTGAACCTGTGAACAGTCTGTTCTCGTTCTTTCACTTTTCCTTGGTAATTCGGTTGGGTTTGTGCTGCTTCACGCAGAATTATGATGAGGTCAGTTCCTTTTAGCGTTCTTTTCCTTCTCTGATGCATATACCTTTTGTACAAATGTTGTGATCACGAGGCTCAGGTGAAGGGAAGAACACAGGGAAAAATTCCTCCCCTTTTCTCACAAACGTCCAAGGTTTAGAAGGCTTCCACCTAACCACAAGGTTACTAGCCGAAGGCTGCAGTACTGAAGAGCCTGAGCAGTGTCTTGGCTGTGCTGTGTTTTAAAGATGCTGAAACTTCTTACCTGGTTGGTGCCCCTGATCAGTGGAAATTCGGCTTAAGTGTAGCTGCCTGGCTATTTTCCCCTAATTTTGCGAATTCTGAGGGCAATAAAGTTGTTGGGAGGGATGGAAGAAGGTGTCTGGAAAAGAGAGAGACAGTATTGGCAGATAACTTTCGTGGAGTAGGAGAGGTGATAGAACAGGGGCAAGGAGCAAAAGGGGAGCCAGCAGAGAAAGGTTAAATTGGCATTTTGTTATGAGAAGGAATAAAAAATGCCTGCCAGAAATAAGAGAAGAGATGGTAAGTTACATGAAATAAATTTATGAAATAAAGGATTGATTGAAGTTGAAATTTTTAGGAAGGAGGGTTGCAAGCAAGTCATCAGTCTGTTCCTTACTCATCTTGTTAATTAAAAACAGTCCCAAAGCTTTAGTGCACCCAGACTATGCAACTGCTAATTAACTGCAGTTTGCAAGACTGCTACAGGGACCCTCATCCTCTTTTTTTGTTTTCTGTCCTTTTTCACATTCCCTGTTGTACGTCATTGATACCTGATAACATGAACTCTTGCATCAAAGGCAGTCTTGTTGCTCTGTTTTAGTGTGCTGCCCTAGATTGGCTGTTGACCAGGATGCAATAGTGTTTATAATTATTTCTTGTATTGGTTTTAAGTGTGTTCTGTCTAATATTGCTAAGCTACAATGCATAGCTAACCCCTGTAAGTATGGTATTGTAGATGTATAGGGAGTATAGGTGGTTCTTACGTGGTGTAGTAAGCTTAGCCCTTGTCTTTGCAGGTTTCTCTAAGCTTTTTGACCCATAAGTGAACATATTGAACTCCATTATAGGAGCCTTCCCCACTTCTTTCTCTTAAAAGTGATTTCTTGCTTGTGTTCCCCTGCCACGTCCAACTTCATGCCTTTCATCATGCAGCTGGAGCAGCATGACATATTTTTGGCAAACGAGATACTACATGATTTTAGTATGAAAATAAGTGGAAAGTCTTTGTGAATAAGAAGATTCATTTGGAGAGGGGTGCATGTTGGTGTGCACAGAACAGATATTTAAAGGGGAGGAGAAAGGGTGGACGTTTCTAGTGAGAACTAGAAAAGCTTGAAGGATTAAGTAGTTGACAGAAGCCGTGGAGATGGGAGCATCTCTTCTCAGTGTGGTTTTCCAGGAAGATCTTAACAGTTCCATGTTGATTTGTCATCATGCTAGCAGTAGTTAATTGTGCTGGAGATGAATGTGTCTGTTGGGAAATAATCACTTGCTATGGCAAGCTCCAGTGGGCCTGTTCCTGATCGTGTTGCTGTGACCAGTCAGACAAGCCTAGGGTGGTACTAAATTCAGAGAGGCCTTGGGATTCCGTATTTTATCTTTGACATAAGTGTTCCCTTGTCATTGCTTGTCTTAGTTTGAAAGACAGGTGTCTGCAGAGGAAGGCAGGAGCCTCCCTTGAAATGGAAAGTGCAACCCCCTTCCCTCCAAATTATTATAGTTTTGAAATTAAGGGGCCTTCAGGCAAAGATATGGGGAATAGGAATAACAGTTCTTTACTAATTATATATAAAACACACAAGGCAGGGAAAAACAAACAACCCCCTGGTTTACACTGACAGAGTCAGGAATACAACCTGACCCCCTGTTAGGGTGGCAGTAGCAGTCCGATAAGATGCTGGCTGCAGTCCTCCTGAAGCGATGGGTGTAGTTCTGTGGAAGCAGCGATCAGGTAAAAGAGTCTGGTCTTCCTCCGAAGGTCCAGTGGTAGGTAGGTAGCTCTTGTCCTCTGGAACTCCAGTGGGGGGAAAAGCTCCTCTGGGAATCCAGTGGCAGAAGGCTGCTAGGGTGTTGGAGATCTCAGTTTTTATTTGGCATGGACTGCTTGGCTCCTTCCCCCCGGGCGGAGCATCTCACAATGGGATGGGGAGTCGTGAGGCAGTTCCTTGATGGGCCATGAACAGGAGATAGTCCAGAGGGGGGAGGCAGGGAGCACCGCCCCACCTGGTCTCAACAGCTCCTGAAGATGGTCATAGAATACTTTTTTTTTTCCTTTTGGCACATTTTACACTAACCTAGGACATTGCTGTTTTGGTTTTTTTCCCTTTTCACTCAAATGCGTATGTATGGACACCTACTCGTATTCATCTGTGGACTTTTGCTTTAAGTTAGGGTTTGTAAACCTCTTGTGTCAAACCTGTATGTTACGTATATCTATTTTTTGGGCTTACAAATTTAAGAAATAAATGGATTATTTGTGAACTAAGATTGTAAAAATAGTAAACTGTTTGCTTTAATTCTTTCCCCTCGCACAGTTCACTTGTGAAAGATGCCTCTCCTGTACCTCTTATGGATGTTACTAACTTGTCTACGCCTCGGAAGTTCCTTGAAACTTCGCAGTTCAGTAATCCTGGAAGCTCCAGCAGTGAGTATTTAAGTTGCATTTGTTCCTCTTAGAATTGATTTTTAGATCTTGAGCTGATTTTACAGGAGTAGTAGTCGGCATAGCATCTCCTCTTCATCGGTGGCTGCTGATGGAAGGTCCTGAGACAAAAAGTTAGCGAGTGATTTGTGCATTGTCATGAAATGAGTGAGCGGTATGTCCAGGGGCAGAACTTGGCCATAGCCGCATTTTTCTCTTGGCAAATCATCCTTCCCCCCTCCTCCCCCATCAGCTTCAATTAAATGCATTTAATTTTCTGTGTCTGTTCTAATCTTGATCATGCTCTTGATATCTCGGGCAGCAGAGATGTTTGCAGTCAGCTCAGTTTGCATAGAGGTCTTTTATTATTTAATGTAGGCAGGCAGGTATGTGTAGTTATTTTGCTGTGTTGGAGCCAAAAGGTCAAAGCTTTTCCTTGTGGGAACTTTGTAACTTTGACTAAAGGTCTATAGGCAGGAGAAATCTGGTGGTGATCTTTGTATACCTGTTCCTACAACAAACACTGAGCAAAACAATTTCGTTGGCGCTTTTGTATGAGGCTTTGGAAGTGCTGCACAGATGGGGAAGTAATCCTTGTATTGTTTCAGGAGATTAGTAAGTGAGGTTGTCCTTGTTTAACAAATGAATAAAATGAATAAGACAGAAGTGACCTACATCTCTCCCCCTTCCTTTCAAAACTTGACTGTTTCAGTACTCCTCAAATGCAGAGAATCTTTCCTTTTCTTTTTTATCCTTAATAATTCTTATGTCCTTATTTGTGTCTGCTTGCTTCTGGTTTTTCTTGTCATGCTTCCCTCCTGGACTCTTTGGTTTGATCATTCTTATCTTTTGTTCTTGCAGGGGTTTTTGTTATTTAACCCTGCTTTTTTTTTGGCTAGTCTCAGAGCCTGAGGCTGTATTTCTACATAATGGAGGTTTGTCAGGCTCACTTCTGACATGCCAATGCAGACTTTCAGAGCTGGAAACTGCAGCTTGGAAACCTGGAAGAGAAAAATCATGTGAAAATTCTGGGGGGAAAAAAAACCCTTAAGAATTCCTTTTCTTTTCCCCTGTGACTAGTGAGAAGTTCAGTTCAGTTTCTTGCTAAGGATGACATGATTTTGGGGTGCTGAGGAAATAAACCACAAAATCTGAATCCCAGTCCAGCCTTACTACTGTGACTGTTAACTGACTTCCTTTTCATTGAGGTAGCCGCATAGTGTCTGCCATTATTTTCTACTTAAAATATTAGTCCTCTGTAAGTAAGAAAAAAACCAAGTCTGAAGTTATGGAGCTGATAGGAGGGGGAATATGGTGGGGAATAGACAGCAGGAGATGTGCCTATTGAAGAATGCAAATCCTCTCCTTAATTCAGTACCTTTACTATCTTCCTTAATAGATTTTTTTAATTGCCAGTGTAATATGAACCTTAAATGTGCTCTGAGAAGAGTTTTGTTGACACTTGTCACCTTTAAAGACTTACAAATCCTAGCCAATCTTTGCATCTGCTGAGATTGGTAAGAGGTGTGTTGTTACTTGAAGTTGGCCAAGAAGTTTTTTTCCCTACCTGTAGCTAGTGTAAACCTGTTTGTAAAGATAAATGCACTTCTCTTGTTCATGCTGGACGGCTGCATTTCTGTCTGTAAAGGAAAGTCCAAAACATGGTGTTTTTTCAGAGCCCAGGTTCCCGTTTATGTACTGCTCTTCTCCTTGAGCAAAGTCCAGTTCAAGTTTACTGCCTTGATTTTCATAGAATCCCAGGTCAGAAGGGACCTCAAGGATCATCTGGTCCAGCCTTTCTTGGCAAAAGCACGGTCTAGACAAGACGGCCCAGCACCCTGTCCAGCTGGATCTTAAAAGTGTCCAACGTTGGGGAACCCACCACTTCCCTGGGGAGATTATTCCAATGGCTGGTTGTTCTCATTGTGGAAAATTTTCCTCGTGTGCCCAATCAGAATCTCCCCAGGAGTAACTGGTACCCATTACCCCTCATCTTTTCCACATGACTCCTTGTAAAAAGGCAGTCTCCATCTTCTTTGTAGCCACCCTTTAGATACTGGCACATGGTGATAAGGTCTCCCCTGAGCCTTCTTTCCTCAAGGCTGGACAAACCCACTTCTCTCAGCCTTTCCCCATACGGCAGGTGTCCCGGTCCTTTGATCGTCTTTGTGGCCCTTCCCTGGACCCTCTCCAGCCTGTCCACATCTTTTTTGTACAGCAGCGACCAAAACTGAACACATCATTCCAGGTGGGGCCTGAGAAGTGCTGAGCAGAATAGGGAGGTTTGGGATTTGCTTACCTGGGCTATTCAGACATTTCTTCTTATACAAGTAGTGAGATTATGTTTTCAAATAAAAGTTGTTACTAGGTGGTTGTGTCTTTCTGTAAGTGGCTCCTCCACAGGGAAGTGTTTGCATGTGTAAGAAGATAAAAAGGTGTGTTAATAATCCCTTGTGATAGCAGAACAACAACTGGTACTAGCATTCTGAAGCATAGCTAGATAGATGTTTTCTGACTCAAATGAGACTTTTAAAAATCAGCAAGTTCTAATTTTATTTGCTCAATGCAATGTTGTTTAAAATCACTTGTACTGATCAATGTTATTTCATTCGGTATTTGATTGAAGGTTCTAGGGTACAACCAACAGGCAAGAACCACAGCGGTGGTCTCTAAGAGCTGGGTTGTTTGTGAACATAAACCCACGTTGCTCCTTTCACCCCAAATGCCAGAAAACAAAGGCTCTAACTGCTTCATCCTCAGCAGTAGTAAATGGGTACAGGTCAACTGAGCACCTGCAGATCTTCATGCCCAACGCAGCAGAAAATCTCTTAACTGGTTCTTTGTGGTGCTCCGTATCGTTCAGTGAAGTGCTGGGCAAGTGTCCCTCGGACTGGGAAAGATGTAGATTATAATAGAAAACATTTGATCAGCATAAAGTATGCATATGGTTTTGCTTCAAGTGCACAATGTACTTATGTATATTTTTTCCACATAATTTTATTTAAAAGTAGCCTTTTCCAGGACTGTGGAACTACCAGAGAATTTAAAACATGTGTATGCATAACAAAAGCTGTTTCTGCCTTTAGTCATTTAAGTTCTTTAGCTTTTTATTGATGAAACAAAGTGGCTGTGCATTTTAATGCGTGTCATTATAAAGCACTGACTCATTCAACCCATCTCAGCAAAGATGCCAAAATTTTGAGTCCTTTCTGCATTCACTTCCCAAAGGAGATGTTACCTTGTCCTGTAGAATCTTTATAAGGAAATTAAAGCTGTTCCTGCTGCACTTAAAATAAACAAAACCTTCAGTAACGTTCACCTGAGGATTGTAGATACGGCACTTCACCAGTAACGTTTTCCCTTCATGCCAGTTCAGAGAAATAAATTAACTTTTAAATTATATTTCTCTGCTTGAACCTTCTGTACTCTGAAGAGTAGTTATGGAGGTTCCTGCACTGCCAAGCTCTTCCTGGAACTATAAAACATGCTCACCCAGTACCTTACAAACCCAAGAGCGCCTTTTCCTGAAAAATTCCTGAGAATACCTTTTAGAAATATGACAAAGATGAGATGAGGTGGTGACAATTAATAATGTTATTGATGACATATGTAAATTTTATGCTGAACACTTTATACTTCAGTGATGCACGCGTCTCAGCTCTAAGAGAAGAACGTAGCTTCTAGATCCTAGCAGGGTGGTGGCGTCTAAGTCAAGTCTAGTTCCTGCTCCTGGCTCTGTTTCTTCAAGAGTGCAAGTACTACTGTGTAGGTGAAAACACGTGGAGACCTGGGAACTTGACCCTGCAAACTACCTGCGGGAGCCAGAGCTTTAGTGTCCACTTTTAAAGGTGGCTCTAAAAATGACGTTGTGGCATTCTCTGTCTGTTGTCACAGTTGTTTCCGCTTCAAACGTGCTCAACAAATACATAAAAAATTATTTTTTTTCCCCTGTTAACCTCACTTGAGGATCTGACACCAGCTGGATGATTTGTACTAACAATTCAATGCTCCCCTCGCTGTACCAGGGTTTTCCTGGTTTAGCTGCTTTGCATATGCACAAATCCCAACTGAGGACTTGATCAGAAGGCAGTGGGAATCCAGCAGTGAGTCCGGTTCTCTCCCGCTGTCGTTGCAGTGCTGCACAAAAAGCAGTTTGTTCTTGTTTCAGGGTAAACTTTTGTGCCTGGGGTGTTGAAGAGGAAGTCTGTTCTTGCAGTTTAAGAAGGGTTTGCAACTGCACAATAAACACAAATGCCTCTGAAGTAACTTTGTGAGTGTCTGTTTTTGCAGGACCGTGATTTCCTTCACTGATCCTCACTAATGGTTCGTGTTCTGACTTGGTGCTAAGCACTGATGTGTGTAATCTGAGCGTGTGCCTTTGGGGAAGGGAAAAGGGAGGAAACTTTAGATCCTTGTGATGAAAGCCAAAAGGGTAACACTTCCTGTGTAATTTCATTAGTTGTTCTTATAAGTGGTCCCAACATAAGATATTTGACTACCATGCACTTATTTTTTTCCATTTGGAGACTCAGTTTTCATGCTTGTGTGTATTGGGAGGTTTTGGACAGGGCTTACAATTGCTTTGTATGGTTTTCTCAGCATGAAATGTTGTTACAATGGATTTGCAAGAGTGGCCTTGTCAAATTAAAATGCCTCTGTTTTTGAAAGAATAACGTCCTTAAAACTAGAGATGGAACTGTGTGAGCGACAATTTTAGAAAGAGGAGATTTGCCTTGAGGCTTTGAGGTTATTGATCTTGAGACCCATTTTCTTCTGGGCTTGATAGTAAGACAGAGAAGAAAACGACCAAGATTTTTAAAGAACTAATTGCCAAAGTAACTGTCCTTTTGTTGCTCATTGTCTCCGTGCATGGGTCAGAACAACGGTACAGCACCAGAAATTTGCACGCGATGTTTCTTCAAATCTTAAGTTATGCCTTTGAGGCACTATGGACTTGCATCCTTTTCTCTAGAAAGATTGAAGGCAGAAAGGGTATACTTAGA